GGTGTTTCGTTGTATGATAATAGCGTCACAGTATGACAATGCTATATCTTTGTGTTCTAGGACAGACAAAATGTCGGACCGAAAAGCAGTAATCAAGAATGCTGATATGTCGGAGGAGATGCAGCAAGATGCTGTTGACTGTGCCACTCAAGCTCTCGAAAAATATAACATTGAAAAGGTATATGCTCATCACACTTTTATGTATACAGATATAGATAACACACTGTAAACATCACACACAAATGTATTGTACAAAGAATGGAAAATTTAAAACACGTGCAATTGAAGTAGATATATTTACCAATAGATTTACTTTTAGTTCTTTTATCTTATATTCAGTAAAGATCTTACATTTTATAAGCACGAATTTAATTAATTTATTATAAAAATTGAATAATTCATTAATGTCTTTGCATTAAGCAAGTTAACAACTTTTATTGGGAATAGGAATAAATAAAGTTTTATGAATAAAGAAGTACAATTGTACATAAAGATTTTGTATTTCAAAGAAACTAAAGAATTCAATAGGTATTATAAAATGATATTTGAAATACTTGGGACATGATTTATTCATTTTTTATTAATAGACCTGGGAGATTGATATATATAATTCAAAGTTGTAATATGTAAATGCAGTTACTGAAATTATGTTAAAGGTCGATATTTTGTTTTCTCTGAAAAATTTCTGTTATATAAATTCTCACACAAGTTACACAGGATGAGATTGTTAAATCAATATCACTATTGATTTTACCATTAATATCCATTGGTTTTGGCTTTCAGGACATTGCAGCATTTATCAAGAAAGAGTTCGATAAAAAGTACAACCCAACGTGGCATTGCATTGTAGGACGTAATTTTGGTAGCTATGTGACGCACGAAACAAGACATTTTATCTATTTCTACCTTGGTCAGGTAGCCATTCTCCTCTTTAAGAGCGGGTAAACTTGTTTTGCTATCCTCCTAAACATCCTTTTTCCTTCCTCTCTTCCTCCCTTGCTCACTATGCAAAATACATACATTTAAAATCACCGCCATGTGTAAAAGAGACTTCATTACTCATTATGTACACATTAAAAAATTTATTTTAAAAAAACAACGCATGTTTCGGATAAGCAAATGAAGATAAATATCAATGTTTCTTGATATATTGTTTGTCGTTACATAAGTAAAAGGATAATCCGAAAAAAATTTTGAGAAGACACAGCCGAAGGGTAGGGAGATAAACTAAGGGAAAAAAAAGAAGAAAAGAATGACATACAACTTTACATGTTAAAATGTATTTTGTATGTCAAGAAGTTTGTTGTGTTCTTGTTTTATATTATTAGGTAAATGTGCTGCAGAATACGGTTAAATTCAATACTGGCGATTTTAACTTAGTAAATTTTAGCGTAAAATTGTTTAACGTATAGCTTATACGTTCGAGCAACACTAAATGGATTACATTTTTCGCATAGAATAGGTTCAGGCAGGGCTCGGTATGTATTTGAAATATTTTTATTTAAAACACTTTGCAATATAAGCGTATTTTGTATTTTTTATTTCAGCGGTTTACAAAAGTATTACGTATTTTGTATTTGAAATCGAAAGCTTGAAAGCTTTTTGTATTTCGAATAATTTTATAATTCAAATAATAAGGTTGATTGTCAGTGTTAGTATTTGAAAATTCTTTCAATCTTTTGTTATTAATGAAATACCTGAAATATAAAATACAAAATATTTTCATGTACTCCGAACAAACACAAAATATAATTGAGAGGAATAAAGCATAATTCTATTTAGGCCCTTTTTCGGGCAATTAGCTTTTTCATGTAATATTCAAGATCGTAATAGAGAAGATTTATAACATGTAACTTCTTAAAGATATTATATAAATTCATTTAATATTGCCCATTTATGTATAATAAAAAAAGTAGCAAGTTATTTTAATTTTTATTAATATCAAGATTTTGTAATTAGGCCTTTATTCCGCCCTCAATTGTCTTGCTAATATTGTTTTTCAAATATAAATATTTCAAATACATGCCCAGCCCTGGGTTCATGTACCTTACTTGAGTCTATACAGGGTGTCTACAAAGTCTGTCCGCACCCTCTACATTTCAGAAACTGTTCCAAATTATGAAAAACCGGACATACATGGTATTTGTTAAGTAGTCGCCAATAATGAATGTAAACCCGAATGAGATTGATTGCCCCTGTAATTGTTATTTTATATTAATTGGTAACCACTGTCGTCTCTTACGTACTGTATACTGATTAACTTGATTTTGTATTTGCTATACAACTGCGACTGATATCTTTTGTTACATTAAGAATTCTCAAAATGATTGAACGAAAAAAGAAAAAAAGGAGCTCAATCTCTCTTTCGACGTGCGATAATCATCGTACACATACTCTATTGATAACTTTATTTCGATCAGATATAAAACTAACATGCTATTGAATAACAATATCTGACTCGTTCATTGCTACCTTCACAATTTTTATATTGTGCACAGATTATAACATAAAAAGGGGGGGGGGAGACATTTTATCTCGAGGCGATGTATACTTAGAAAAATATTCATTTCTCCAGAGAAGAAATATCACTTTCTATCCGTATTCAATTCTTTTATGTAATATTCAACACTCCATATTATAGAGTACTTATATATATATATATATATAAATATATATTTAATATAGATTATACATATGATATATTATTTATACATAGAGTGCAATCTTCAAACAATTTTTCATGCAGTATTTGATTATCGTAAATGTTGCTACATTGTTCAAATTTTAGACTGACTATTAAATAATATCAAACTATCATGCATGATCCTTTTTTTTATAGAAGTTCGCAATGCCACTTTTATAAGCAGCGAATATGTAGCAGAGTGTTCAAAAGTATCACGATAAAAAATATCGAGTTATACTTTGAAGATCAACTTGTCCTTGAGAACATCTGAAAATATTCAACATGTTATTACGTTACTTTCCTTTTATTTATTTATTGTACATATATTCCAGCAGATTTATTAACTCATAAATATTGCATATATTATTAGAGTAACACAGGATAAGCTGTATCTTTACGGTGTTATATGATGTACGTTATGCTTTCGCCGTACTTGCTACATGAGATCGGTTCAAGAAATATATCGCTAATAGGTTCGAATTAATCATCGGTAAAAGCCAATTGTACTTTGTATACATGTTAAGTAAAGAACCTGTTACGCTGTTAGGCGGCGGTTGTCATATTCATTTAATTTGCCAAAATCAAAATCAAGATCTGCTTCCGGAACGCGCTTTTTTAAAACGTAAATAGAATACAAAGTACTAAATTATTTTTCCTACACCTGTGAAACACGGGTTAACAAATGAAAAATAAATGTGGCTATGGCAAAATCATTTTGGTTCTTTTGGAATCGAGCTTTCGAGGGTAAGAATTGCTCTGTGCACCTCCGCCAATTTCACGATCGAGTCTACATGCAGAAGATGCGGTAAAAGCAGATGAATATTATTGTGCTTAACAATAAAAATCAGTTCCACCCATGAAACGATGTATTTTCTTTTCAGCGAGGCGCAATGTATAAAATAGAGAGCGAAGTTATCCTACATAAGAGCGGTATTAAATATCACAAGGTCGAATTTTCCCTAAAATTACAATGCTGAAATATCAGAGGGAAAAAACGAATTGCACGTTCGTAACACGCGCGCGTTCATAATACACATATACACACGTTTGCAGCCTACGCACGCGATGCCAGGAACATCAATAATGTATTCTCGATAAAATTCAACCTTGTGACTCACAATGTGGAATGGCTGACTAAAGGACTACCTGTTGTGCTTTGCATAATTTGCGTAACTTTGTTAGACTCGTGTATCTCATTTCCGCCCCTAATGACTATAAATACCTGTGCTTCTGCAACACCATGCACACGTCCGTATCTATGTGTGTATATATATATATATATATATATATATATAAAATGTATATACGTGTGTAAAAACTATACCTGTACTTTCTTTCAGAGTCCTCTAAAAATAAGTTTTTTCAGCTGTTTCTTTATTGTATTTGTGATAAGATCGATAATATCGTTGATATTACATTTATTAATAATCAGTTTATTGTTACATTTGGTCTTTAACATTACAGAATCCAATACATCTGGAGAAAAACTAGCTGTATATACGTCGTAATTTTATTATACTAATCTTAATACATATTTACACATATCTTCCGAGTCTTTTTTAAAGTTACTACAAGTTAAAACAAGTTTTGCTATTACAAGTAATTTCTCCCAGAAGATATTTTATGTGTTATATATTGCCCTTGATAATTAGAAATTAAAATAAAAGATAATATCTCCATAAATATTAGATATTATTTATTTATAATTATCTTGTCAATAGTTGAATCTAAATTTAAAATTAATTACAATGTTAATTAAGTTATTAATTATAAAATTTCTATATATGCAAATGAAAAAAATTAATATCTCATTAATTCTTAAACATCACGAATTTCTTATTTTATGAGCACATAAGTAATATCGAGGATAATGGAAATTCGTGATTAAATAAAATCCTCTCTAATGGATTGATAATTCAACTCGTTAACTATATCGTCACGCAAGCATTAGCCTTACAATAAATTCTTCTGATAAGCGGAATCGATTTAAGGTTCCAGCTGGAGTAGTCACTACAGCCATATCGAATCGTGACATCAGAAGCGAGAAATGACACGTTAATTCTTATTACATGCCATTTATAAATAAAGACAATTCGAATAAAACAGAATGATGAGATTACTTTAAAACATTTGTAAAAATATTGTGCTTATTTTCCCTGATAGTCAGTAAATAATCGTAAAAAGTGATAAAGGCACGTGTAAGTGAAAATAAGCTACGCATGCGCATTGAATAAAAGCACTTCGTGTACCTTTCATCACTTTTTACTGATTATTTACTGATTGTCAGGGGAGATAAACATAGTTTTCGTTCATTTTAACAAATGTTTTAAAGCAATCTCATCATTTTGTTTTATCCAAATTTGTCTTCATTTATAAATGACACGTAATGAAAATTAACGTGTCATTTCTCGCTTCTGACGTCACGATTCAATATGGCTGAGGTGACTACTCTGGAGTCTTACCATAAAATTTTAATCTGCAAAATTATTGAACTTTAGTAGTTCAATGTTAGAAATGTGTCATCAGATTTAGTATCTTGTTATACAAAAGTTCTTTAACATCCTTAGCCCACATGAAATCCAGATGATTGAACTTTTTATATGGAACAAGGAATTTTCCAAATGGATTGCCAAGTTCTTTCTCTAATTGGTCAACATCCTGCAAATGATAAAGATATTGATGTAAATACATAATAATTTTTTCTAAATAATTAAAACTACATGGTAGTTTATTTAATTTTAGCATCTTCAGTATTTTCAAGATACTTGTTCTAACCAAAATATAGGAAAGTTTATTTTGCATGTGCATATATAAAAAAATAAATATCCTTACAAGTATCTTGAAGATATTTAAAATTGAATAAACTATTATAGAGTATTATGTATTAAAAAATACGAACATCGATATGTGCTAACCAATCGTTGGCGCTATAATGCAATGAAACTGGCACTTTGATTTTCCCCAAGTCATATTTCGGAGGACGGAACGTACCATATTTGACAAAATTGGTGATGAGTGAGTAGTCGTACTGTCTAAATTTCCCCGATGTAATAATAGATCCTGAGAATACATTCGTGGTTTATAAAAAATTTATATATGTATAGTATAATTATTTTATGTATGTATATAATTTTATAAAATTTAAAGAAATATTTATGAAGTATAATGGAATGCATGTATATTTTACTATCTTTATACGAGTATTATACAAGATATTATAGTGGAATAGATGCTCACCACTTTTGATAAGCTGTAAATAATGCATTATTTGTTTCGTGGCTGCGCCAGCCGGAGCATGTTCTATGATTAATGGTAGTAGAGTCTACAAGATGACAGCAGCATTAAGTATGAACAATCGAATTAATAATGAACTGACATTATTATATATAATTTAAATAAATTATATGATTGTAAAATTCGTGATTAATTCTAAAACAAATCATCGTTACATTATTTAATAACACCAATAATAATGCTCTCCTACAGCACAAAGTTGAACAAAAGTTGCAGCAATATTGCAGAGATTTTACAGCGATATTGCTGCAAATTCTGTGCTATATGGCTTGTAATAAATGAGTTTTTTACTGTGTAATTATTCTTATTTTAAATTTCACAAAATAATTAAGGGTATGTTAATGATAGTGTCGTACAGTATTAAACTGATCTTTGTCGAATCCAGTGATCAAGAAGATCACATTAGTGCACAAGGGTTGCGTGATAGCGTCTTCCGCGCATACCATTTTCTGGAACTGTTTCATGACTTCGTCAGTAGGCGCGAATTCGTATATACCGATTAATTTTAACAGTCCCTGCAACAAGACGTTTACTTGATTAAAAAAAAGAAAAAGGAGAAAAATTGATTATTATTTTATTATCGAATTAAAAATTGCATACGTTTAATGGACCGGAGAACCTTGCCAGGAATTGAAAAATGGGATTTCTTAATCTGCTGCAATAAGCAATTGGTGCCAATGCGAACATCGCCTGGATTTTGTGCTGATACTCTGGCAATTCCGTCGACATGACGAAGAAAACAGTGGTGCCCTGGCTATGCCCCAGATAAAACATTTTCTCACGACCAGTGGTCTTCACGATATAATCTATCATGGCTGGAAGATCGTACACGCCAATTTCATGCCAGCTATAAGAAAGGTACGATTTTTATGATTTCTATGAATTATTTATCAATTCTCGGTCTGGGATAGAGATAACTTCATTTTATATTAGATAAACAAATAGAGATATAGGAAAAAATTAAAAATACACTGCTCAAAAAAATTATGGCATAGAAAAATTGTGGACAAAAATTGGCCAATTTTGACTAATAACTTTGCGAAAAACTATCGTACAATAACGGGTTTTTTTTTTATTAAAGCTTGAAATCTCTATTTTAAGACGCTGTGGCCAGATTTTAAATTTGATGCACCCCTACCACTGTTAACTCAAAATATGAGGGGCCTCTGAGTAGTCGCGGCGACCATGTTGGAATCGTGACGTCAGAAGCGAGAAATGACACGTTAATTTATGCACGATGCCATTTGTAAACAGAGACAATTTGGATGAAATTAAACGATGGGTTCGCTTTAAAACATTTGTAAAAATCGATGAAAACTGTCCTTTTCTCCCTTGATAGTCAGTAAATGGTCGTAAAAGACTCGTAAAGTGAGCCTATATTCTGGCAGAAACACACGGTTTCATAACTGTTGAAACGAGTTAAATATACACTTTTAAGTATAAAATTCCAAGATAACTTTAGTTGTCATCGAAAATTACGATTTTGAGAAGTACGAAACAAGTCACATTTTCACAATTAAGCAAATAATAACGAAATGGCATTGTGCACAAATTTCGTCGTCAAAACTGGTCAAAATGTCACTTTTCCACGCCTATAAGTTCGGCCATTTATCGTGGTGTGGCGCTGTAACACACATACAAGCACGATCCCATGTCCGTGTGCTCGCAGGCGAGCACACGGACATGGGCTCGTGCTTAAGTGTGTGGCTACCGATTTTGCCAGACCGCCGTCTGATACTGTGTCGCCACCGTCAACGCAGAGTTCTTGGCTGAGTAGTCAGGAGCCTTAAGATATAAATTTGTTCTTGCGTCGCTTAATTGTCATTTAATTGTTGCTATTGATTTAAACGGAACGTCCACTTTTGAGAGAAATGTCTCAAATGAGCCGAAAAAAAATGATTTGTCTGAATTTCTATATTCTAGCTATTAATTATCATTCTAAAGATATACAAATAAAAATTCTCATTTAAAATTCTATGTGTAATACAGGGTGGACCATCTGAAGTGATCCAGTCAAATATCTCGAAAACTAGTAGGGACAGAGAAAAATGTTTCGTATGAAAAGTTTAGGGTTACACGGGGGAAGTATGGTACTGACCTTGAAAAATCCTTGGAAGGTCATTTTGAAGGTCATTCAGGGGTCACGATGGTTTTTTTAAATGGAACCCCTAGTTTTTCACCATGGGATGAGAAAGCTGGTTTCAAGCCCTTTACGAAACACTGGTTGTGGTCCACAATCCGCCCACTG